CCTCTCACAAGTTTATTCTGACAACTGATCCTCTACATTTATTCTACTGATCCTCTCACAAGTTTATTCTGACAACTGATCCTCTCACAAGTTTATTGAACTTCTTTAAAAGTTGTAATGATGAGAACAGTGGTGGATCCAGCCTTTTATCTTACCCCCTTCATACCATTTTGATACTGACATGAATATATTAATACTAATTAAAGTTCAAATTTTTCTGAAATGTAAGCAAAGCTCAATACAACTTTTTGCCCTATCTCAAAAATCATAAGTCATAATATTGTTAAATAACTCAAAAATGAAAATGTATTTTTAAGATAAACTCTGCATCTTCAAGACTTTTTAAGCACTTGAAATAAAATGCAAATAGGTGTAATTACTAGCAGAGACATATTACAGAGAAAAGTAAACTTTATAAAGAAAACGTTGTGCTTTCATGACAAATAAAAATGTAATGAGTACTATTAAAGCTGTGTATTTGATCTTTGTTTTTAATCCAGAGGGATATAAACTTCAGCTCTAAAATTGCAGTGAAATGAATTTGCATTTTTATAATTTCCTATTCAACAATGTGATCAGCTCAGCACCCGCTTTAACATTCTCAATTTAGAATTCAGCTCTTTAGGGATAGTGTGCCTCGTACATATAGGCCAAAAGCAGGAATATTTTGAACCGAATAAGGTTTTTCAAGCTGTTACAACCATTTTTCATTTAGTGCACTAAAATATCCTTATAATACAGACTTTGAGTTGGAACAATGATTTGTATTGAGTGCGATGTGTTTATTTTCAACTTTTGACCTGACAGACCAGTCAATAGAAATTGACCAATGACGGTTTTCTTTGCTCTTTTGTTGACCAATTGTATTAAAGGAAAGTTTGCAAGCTAACCTACAGATCAGTCAAAGCACACTTAAAGTTGCCTGCCTGCAGACTGGTCAAAATCAATAACTGGCCAATTGAAAACATATTTTAGAGCTTTGAAGATTGCCGACAGGTCATACATTCATACAGAAACTACTGACCTCGCTGCTGAATACACCAAAGTAATGCTTGCTCCATTAGTCTTGCAGTAATGCGTAATATTATCGGATTTTGTATGAAAATATTTTTTGAACGTAGGTAGTGATAATCTATGTTTGCTTTGATTTTGAAATATGGAACTTTCCAATTTCACAAATTTTCACCTACTTCACTTTACTGGTTTGATGTACCAACTTAAAATTTACCACCCTGAAACCAAAAACATACCTTTCTTTCTATTTTTTCAACTCTAGTTTCTGCACGAGTTGGATCAGGTGTGTCTTCAGGATCCTATGAAAAATAAGTAGAGTCGATTTTACTGATAGCACCTGCAAACTTTTTGAAGTGATTCAGTTTTTTATAGATACCACATTGGCAATGTACCTTATACACAATCACATGTCAGTTGCTGAGGAATATGAAAATCAATGTCTCTTAGTTGGGGATTAATGTTGCTCAAAAGTTTTGCACATTCATTCAACACTTGAAAATTAGAAAAAACTACAAGGTTTAACTAAATATATCTATCACTTCGAGCTAAGCACTAGAATTGCTGAGCTTGGGCAGTTTTCAATGCAAGAAATGTGTGTGCATATAACCTTGAAATTTCAAAAATGTTATTGACTTTATTCTAAATAAAGTAAAAGTTCTACTTGAATTCTCCGAAATTATGAAAAAACCAAAATTCCCAAAAATCATTAGAAAAATAATATATGTATAATTAAAAGCATTAATATGTTAGCATTTCTTTGTATAAAAAAATCTTATTAAAATCACGCAAAAGCGAGCAAATCCAATTAAACACAATAGAAAAAGAAAGTTCATCAATTGATTAAATTAGACCTTTCCATTCAATTACTTTACAAATGAAATCAAAATTCACATTCTGTGTACTCAAACAGATAGGGAATAAGAATAACTTGTTAAGTTCAACTTAATGTAGCTGTCTACTTATATCATCTGGATTTATGACTGATTTAAAAACAATGAGGTACAATAAACAATAGCTATTATATGACTTTAAAAAAATCAGAAAACCCAATCATATGAGATATGTACTTGCTGTCAACTTGGTGATATAAAATTTTTGGAATAAGAAAAATATATTGCATCATATTTAATTTCTAGTACATCAAATTCTTGAGAAGCTTCACATGCAACTTTATTGAAAAATTATGTTGATAAACCTAAATATTTTTTTATTTCAATCACGTGGTTTTCACAAGAACAAACAAGGCCGGGAAAATTTTAATACGTATATTTCCCTTGAACTGTGAACATCAAAGTTTTTCAAAAATCTTTGTATATCAGGTTGATAGCCAAAACTAATGAATTGTTTGTTTCGGTATAGAATACGCGATAACTACCCAATATTTTATAGTCAAATAAGGCGGTTTGCATCCTATGTACTATACTTCAACACATGTGAACAAAATCGAGATATCTGATTTTTCATTCCTCTAGTGTTCAAAACGCAACAACAAAACCCACAGAGGTGTTAAAATGTATTGCAACATTAAATCATCGACGTATTTAATACCTCGAAGTCAGCAACGATACTCGCAATTCCACTGTACGGCCAAGGCTTTTTCTGATGACCTAGTTTATCCAGAGGCGGAAGATATGGTATGGGAGGTCTAGCAGCAAATAATGCCAAAAGATTTGACGGTAAAAACGCGGTCATTTCGACTATAAAATTAAAATATTCGCAAACTGCCAGTTCCAACGAAATAAGAACATAATAACGAGTGAAGAAGTCAAGAAGTCAGGATTTCTATTGAGTTGGCCCACTGATCTGATAATAGACTGGATATAGCTTCTACAGGTAGCAAAAGTGAAGCCTAATTATAAATGCAAATTCACTTCCGGTTACCACGGCGGATACAAATTTCTATAGAAATGTATGGCGGATAACGTTTACAAACATGGATTTTCGAATATTTAAGACCTTTCGCGACTCCTTACTCACCTCAAGTATTAGTCATGGATAAAACAGGTTATGCGAATCGATTTGACATCAAAATAATTCCGATAGCTGTAAAATATCGACGTTAGTGGTGATTTAAAAGTTGTACATGCGAGAATGTATTTTGTCCCATCGTTGCCAATGCAAGATAGTTCACTGCTCGCTTTCCAATTTCTGAGGCATTTATGATCTAGTATACGTTTCAGTTCCTTAGAAATGATGTGAGTTAGTTTTTTATCATTCTTTCTTTATGTTGAGAGATTGTTGACATTTTATTTTTGCTGTAACTTCATTTTTTCATGAGCAAAGTACTATTGATGCTTAAACAAGACAGTTTATTCAGTTTCTTTCGCACTTTATCTTTAGTTTCCATTTCTGTAGTTGTTTTTCTCAAATGGTATAGTCGCACTTTGTGCTTAATTATTCAAAGAAGTATGATTTTCATTGACATTAAAATCTAACAAATGCGTTCTACACACATTAGGACACTTTAGTATACTGCTTTTGAAACATCAAGGTAATGTAGCCAGCCAGGTATGAATTTGCAGGCCCTCTTTATTATCATCTTGGTTTTGGTTTGTCCCTTAAGTTAATTTAAATTATCAACAGCAACATAAGACTGTGTCCACGGTTTATAATTATAAGTGTGTCCAATTGTATCCAGTATATCAGTTTCACATTGTCTTGTGCTAATTCCTTTACAGCCATGAATACTGCTTCTCAGCAACAGTTTATTGTCTACAGCTGTAAATTGGTCAACTGTTGGTTTGTTGAAGTCACACTTTACAAGTGGAATAAAGCTCTTGGAGCAATTCGATCCTCAGGGCTTTAACAACAACCCAACAGCTGAACAATTTACTGCTGCAAGACTTTGATAAAGCAGTATCCATGTTGCAATAACAACTGCACCAGACAAGATGAAACTAACATGAAGTAATTGGGGACACCTATAAAATGCCAAACAAAGAATCAAGTACAACAATTGATGCTGCTCTCAACCGAAAGTATGATTTACAAGGACAAATCACAACAGAGATGAGGATGAAGATTATAGTGATGCACCAAGCTTTTCCACTGTATCTGAATTTAAAAAGGCGCAATATCGCATGGCTGGCTATGTTGCCCAGATGGTGCAAAGAAAAAAAACTGTCCTGTTTGTCATGAAGCAGTCGGTTCAAGAAACTACAAAAATGAGTCTGCTTTCCTGACTTTAAAAGACAGGGGTAATTTCTTTAAGCCAACAGCAAGTGTAATTGTAATATGCAATGAAACAGAGAGGTGCTTTCAGAGAATGTTGGCAGCTACAGATGGAAATTTACCGCAAGGGAAAGGAATTCTGATGCTATTGCTTTGTCTGTAGTAAATGGTATAGATTTGAGGACCACATTCAAGGATCTCGATGCACACATGTTGGATACTACTGTTCACGAAAATCATATTTACTCATTAATTAAGACCATATCTAAATGCTACAGCAAGGTACGACTATACCATTTGAGAAAAACAACCACAGAAATGGAAACTTAAGATAAAGTGCGAAAGAAACTAAATAGACTTGTCTTGTTTAGCATCAATAGTACTTTGCTCATGAAAAAATGAAGTTACAGCAAAAATAAAATGTCAACAATCTCTCAACATAAAGAAAGAATGATAAAAAAAGTAACTCACATCATTTCTAAGGAACTGAAACGTATACTAGATCATAAATGCCTCAGAAATTGGAAGCGAGCAGTGAACTATCTTGCATTGGCAACGATGGGACAAAATACATTCTCGCATGTAACTTTTAAATCACCACTAACGTCGATATTTTACAGCTATAGGAATCATTTTGATGTCAAGTCGATTCGCATAACCTGTTTTATCCATGACTAATACTTGAGGTTAATAAGGAGTCGCGAAAGGTCTTAAATATTCGAAAATCCATGTTTGTAATCGTTATCCGCCATACATTTCTATAGTAATTTGTATCTCGCCGTGAATATATATATTTAGGCTCACTTTTTGCTACATGTAGATCCAGTCTATTATCAGATCAGTGGCTTGGCGTCAGGAAATATGCTCCCCAGAAGTTCATGTCTTTCTTCATGTCTAACTACGACGCTGCATGTAAAGGATTTCCGCTTTCGTCGAGCAAAATAGTGTCCGCATCCTGATGTTTTGGTCCCGTACACCCATGTCAATACTGAAAATTAATAATAGTTAAATGTGTACAACATTCATGAGTAGATTGAGTTGAGCTGAAATTGAATTTGCAATAAAATTTCTAAATCAATCCCTGTCGTGTACATTTCAATTATAGCCAAAATATAAAATTTGCTCATCTCATTTTATCGTCTCGCTGTTATGAACAGAATTCAATATTTCACAAGAAAAACAGCAGGTGATTAAAATCAAGCATTTATTGAACATTCCAATTTCTCTATTATAAAGAAAAAGCAAAGACATCATGTAGCTGGTTGCGTCTTCTTTAATCTTTCTAAATTTGTTAAGGTATTTTGATTATAAAGTTTACATATCATAGTGTCATTGTTTGTTCTTATGTCTAGAATTTTGTTATATTTGTCATAAAAAACCTGAATGTCATTTTCGTGTTGGAATTCGCACTTCACATGTTTTATATTGATACATCTGTTGATTTTGGTGGGATTTTCCCAATAGCACATTGGATAATTTATCAATTTAAAATGCTGACCCTTCTTGCATTATCACCAACAATAAATTTCGCTAGTCTTTTCAAATATCATTGGTACGACAGGGCTAAAAATCAACAAAATAAATCAAAATCATGAGACGTCACAGAATTTCAGTTATGCATATCATAAATGCGGAATGATTTTAATTTTATCTAACATGGCTTTAATCAAGAAGAATTTTTTTCCTCTTTTATACAGTCATCTATCTACTTATTTTATTCGTACAACAGATGATGACATAAAAACGTTTTGCTAGGTATGTCCTTAGAAATTACGCCTAATTGGAGTGAAAAGATCACTTCTTCACGTGATAGTACACGTGATTTTTTTCTCGTCTATATTTGTTCAACTTGTTGTAAGATAGACTATTTAAAATATTTGTTTGCGTCAAAAGTTAACAAAATGACAAAACTTTGCATAATAAAGGTCAAGTCCAAACGCTATCAGTTTTGTAGTATCTATGATTACTGAGATGTGAAAAAAATATTCTAAATTAGTGACTTCGAGATTAATTACTCTGATATTCCCTTCTTAAAAAAGGATTGCCCCCAAATCTTGAGCCCCCAATTTTTACTTGCTTCTCACGCCCCGGATCAAATTATTGTTTATCCGTATCAAAAGTTTACAAAATGATAAAACTTCATTGACCACGTTTCAAAGTTGGAACGTCAGGATGTTCAATAATTGAAATAAATAATAGTAAACTGTGAAAGGTTTATTGGCATAAAGCTTCTAAGTCAAAACTTCTTTGTGTTTACTTCAGTAATAGCTAAAATAATAAATTTGCATTTAATATTCTATTGGGTATGAACAAAATTCAATGTTTTGCAATAAAAACAGCAGGTGATTAAAATTGAACATTTATTGAAATTCCAATTTCTTTATTATCAAGCAGAAGCAAGGGCACAAGTAGCTGGTTGCGTCTTCTTTAATCTTTCTAAATTTGTTAAGGTATGTTGATTATAAAGCTCACCTATCAGAGTGTAATTGTATGTTCTTATGTCTAGAATTTTGTTATATTTGTCATAAAAAACCTGAATGTCATTTTCGTGGTAGAATTCGCGCTTCATATGTTTTATATTGATACGTCTGTTGATTTTGGTGGGATTTTCCCAATAACACATTGGATAATTTATCATTTCAAAATGCTGACCTTTCTTGCATTATCACCAACAATTAATTTCGCTAGTCTTTTCAAATATCATTGGTACGGCAAGGCTAAAAAATTAACAAAATGAATCAAAATCATGACACGTCACAGAATTTCAGTTATGCATATCACTATGTGCAATTATTTAATTGTTATCTAACATGGCTCTTATCAAGAAGAATTTTTTTCCTCATTCATAAACTGTTTATAAAGTCATCTATCTATTTATCTTATTCATAACACAGATGATGACAAAAAAAGGTTTTGCTAGGTATATATTTAGAAACTGCGCATACTTGGAATAAAAACTTACTTCTTCACGTGGTAGTACACGTGATTTTTTTCTGGTCTATAATTGTTAAACTTGTTGTAAGATAGACAATTTAAAATATTTATTTGCGTCAAAAGTTCACAAAATGACAAAACTTTGCATGATGAACTGTCAAGTCCAAACGCTATCAATTTTGAAGTATCTATGATTACTGAGATGTGACAAAATTATTCTAAATTAGAGACTTCGAGATTAATTACTCTGATATTCCCTTCTTAAATAAAGATTGTCCCTAATATCTTGAGTGCCCCAACTTTTACTTGCTTCTCACGCCCCTGATCAAATTATTCGTTTATCCGTATCAAAAGTTAACAAAATGATAAAATTTCATTGACAACGTTTCAAAGTTGGAACGCTGACAATTTTAGAGAAGCTCTGTTTATCGATTTTCTTAACTTCCTAAAATATAAATCTTTATATTTTGAGCTATCTAACTTGTAAGAGGCTGGCTACCCCGTCTTCCTTTATGATTATTTCAGTCAATAATTGAAATAAATAATAGTAAACTGTGAAAGCTTTATTGGCATAAAGCTTCCAAGTCAAAACTTCTTTGTGTTTACTTCAGTCATAGCTAAAATAAAAAATTTGCATTTCATATTTTATTGGGTATGAACAGAATTCAATATTTTACAATAAAAAGAGCAGGTGATTAAAATTGAACATTTAGTGAACATTCCAATTTCTTTATTATCAAGCAGAAGCAAGGGCATCACGTAGCTGGTTGCGTTTCCTTTAATCTTTCTAAATTGGTTAAGGTATGTTGATTTTAAAGTTTACTCTCTTTATGTAATGGTGTATTTTAACCTTCTTATTTAATGTTTTGTGTACATTTATCAATTGTTTTGTTTTGATGTCACGAATATTGTAGTTAAATATAACTTATAAGTTACTTGCGCGCTACATATGTTTTATATGGATAACATTCTTAAGTTTTGTGGGATTTCAAACACCGATAAATTTTGAATGATTTACACTGTGAAAATACCGACTTTTCCGACAATTATACCAATTAAGCAAGATATATTTACAACATTAGTGTTTAGTGCAAATTTTATCGATGTATTTTTGCTTTATATAAATATGAAATGATCAATTGTTAAAGATTTTCACGATAATTTTATGTGCACACTGCATAGAAATTTAAATTCAACCGTTAAAAATGCTTTTATTTTATCTGCATACGTGATTAGGTTTCCGTGGATCAACGAATTCATCTGGTTGAGACATAGAAATTTTGTAATCTATATTGTCGTTTAGAAACGCTGTTTTGACATCCACCTGGTGGATTTCAAGATTCTGAGCATTTCCCATAGATAGGAGATCTCTGATTGACGTGTATTTGGCCACAGGAGAAAATACTTCTTCGTAATCTGTTCCTTTCGATTGTGAGTATCCTTGTGCAACCAGTCTGTTTTTACATCTGTCAACGGATCCATTTTCATTCCTCTTTACCTTGAAAACCCATTTGGAACCAATGATGTTCTTCTCTTACGATGGTGCAACCAATTCCCAAGTGTTATTCTCCAAAAGAGATGAGTATTCTTCTGTCATGGCATTCTTCCATACTTCTGCATGCTTTCCATTCAGTGCTTCATTAACGCTTTTAGGATCATCTATGTCTGAAATCAGCGATTCAGCAACTTGATATGCGTCTACCCGACATCAACGAGGGATTTTTTTTTCTCTTGTTTGTCCTAATTTCCTTACATCTTCCATAAATGAATCTTCGTATGTCTTTCGAATTGGTGGTTCTACATGCTCTCCCACTTGCTCAGTATCTTCTCTTCTTGAGCATTGTTCATCATTTATAGTCATACTTTGTTGAAACTGTGTTGCTTGCTCTTCTGGATGAGTTGTATCAGCATTTTCATTGGTTCCTTCATTCTGTTTTTCTTCTGATGTTACATCTTCATCGTCCATATGAACGTCGGTATCGCTTAACATAGCGACATTCCTCTGCTGTGATCGTTTAGCAAAGGAAATTTGTTTTCAAGAAATACTACGTCTCTACTGATTGTAAAACGGTTTCGGTTTAAGTCGAACACCTTGTATCCTTTAGTGCCAGAGGGATATCCGACAAAGATTGCTTCGTTTCATTTTTGATCAAGCTTCTGACGATTACAGCTTGGGACGTGTACAAAACATTTGCATCCAAACACCTTTAGGTTTGAAAGATCAGGCTTCTCTCCAAATATGCATTCAAATGGTTTTTTTCGTTAATGTAGCTGTGGCACTTCGATTATGAAGATAAATGGCAGTATTACAAGCTTCCGCCCAAAAGTTCAATGGCAATGCAGCAGTGTATATCATAGACCTGGCAGATTCCAGCGTTGTACGGTTGAGACGCTCTGCCACTTCGTTTTGTTCTGGGCAATATGTGCTTGTGAATTCTTGATTTATTCCTTCGTTAGCGCAATAATTGATGAAACCGTTTGATGTGTATTCCCCACCATTGTCATTCCTTAAGATCTTCAAATGTCGTTTGTTTGAACTCTGGATTTTCATATTATTAACAAGTTCTTTAAACTTTGTGAGTACTTCACTCTTGCGCTTGATGAAATATGCAACTGCAAACCGTGAATAGTCGTCAATAAGTGTTACCATATATAAACTGCCTCCCTTCGATTCAACTTGCATGAGACCACATACATCACTGTGAACAACTTTATATGCTTTAGTAGCTGTGTGTTGACTTGTTTGAGGAAAAGGATTCCCGTGTATCTTTCCGCGAATGCATCCTTCATAATTGTTTGCAGCTTTCTCGTTTCTTCCATTATCTTTCACCGTATTTTTCTTCATCATTTTCTTTATGTAATCATGATTGAGATGGCCTAACCTTGGATGCCATATTTGAGAAGATGTATCAATTGACGATTGAGAATATTCAGGATCCTTCACAGTATGTAGCATGCCATCTGTTAACTCACCAATAACATAATCTAATACATTCATTTCCATTAAATTAGACTTTGATTTTCATGGCAATCATTGCTGGTGCGGAGTAAATTTTTGTAAGCTTTGGCACATACAACACTTTGTGCAACTCAACATGGTATACTAACTTTACCAGACCTTCACCAAGAGCATGTATCACAGTGTTGTCTCCTAAATATATTTTGGTTTGTGTTTGATATTCAACATAGCCCACAAACAAATCCTAGTTGTGTGTCATATGTTTTGTTGCAGCGGAATCGATAAATCATTCATCAGAGGGTTTAATATTATGAATAAAAGCAACATCACTGCCTTCAATAACACATGAACTTCCTTCTTTCTTATTGGTTGTATTCAACGGAAATTTCTATCTATGTGTCCCTCCTGTTTAAATCTGAAACAGGTAACATTTCTTCCCTTATTGGAATCATTTCTTCCCTTATTCTGTACACGTTTCACAAAATGCTGCTTGCTTTTCGCGGGATATGAAAGCCATTCGTACTTTTTTGAGCCATTTGGACGGAAAAAATCTTCTTTTATTTTTACTTCGAAGCTTTTTGCCATCGTTAAAGTCGCTCATAACTTTGATCCATGGATCAACATTCACCGTTAATGTTTCACGACCCAGGTCACAGTCAGTACTGCTAGTTGATGGTGTGGTGCCGTTGACGTTTCACGACCTGGGTCACAGTCAGTACTGCTAGTTGATGGTGTGGTGCCGTTGATGTTTCACGACCTGGGTCACAGTCAGTATTCTAGTTGATGGAGTGATGCCGTTGATGTTTCATGACCTGGGTCACAGTCAGTACTACTAGTTGATGGGGAGGTGCCGTTGATGTTTCATGACCTGGGTCACAGTCAGTACTACTAGTTGATGGGGTGGTGCCGTTGATGTTTCACGACCTGGGTCACAGTCAGTATTCTAGTTGATGGGGGTGGTGCCATTGATGTTTCATGACCCAGGTCACAGTCATTACTGCTAGTTGATGGGGTGGTGCCGTTGATGTTTCATGACCTGGGTCACAGACAGTACTGCTAGTTGATGGGGTGGGACCGTTGATGTTTCACGACCAAGGTCACAGTCAGTACTGCTGGTTGATGGGGTGGGACCGTTGATGTTTCACGACCAAGGACACAGACAGTACTGCTAGTTGATGGGTGGGACCGTTGATGTTTCACGACCAAGGTCACAGTCAGTACTTCTAGTTGATGGGGTGGGACCGTTGATGTTTCACGACCAAGGTCACAGTCAGTACTTCTAGTTGATGGGGTGGGACCGTTGATGTTTCACGACCAAGGTCACAACAGTACTGCTAGTTGATGGGGTGGGACCGTTGATGTTTCACGACCAAGGTCACAGACAGTACTGCTAGTTGATGGGGTGGGACTGTTGATGTTTCACGACCAAGGTCACAGACAGTACTGCTAGTTGATGGGGTGGGACTGTTGATGTTTCACGACCAAGGTCACAGACAGTACTGCTAGTTGATGGGGTGGGACTGTTGATGTTTCACGACCAAGGTCACAGACAGTACTGCTAGTTGATGGGGTGAGACCGTTGATGTTTCACGACCAAGGTCACAGTCAGTACTTCTAGTTGATGGGGTGGGACCGTTGATGTTTCACGACCAAGGTCACAGTCAGTACTGCTAGTTGATGGGGTGGGACCGTTGATGTTTCGACCCAGGTCACAGTCAGTACTGCTGGTTGATGGGGTGGGACCGTTGATGTTTCACGACCCAGGACACAGACAGTACTGCTAGTTGATGGGTGGGACCGTTGATGTTTCACGACCCAGGACACAGACAGTACTGCTAGTTAATGGGGTAGGATCGTTGATGTTTCACGACCTAGGACACAGAGAAAACTGCTAGTTGATGGGGTGGAGCCGTTGATGTTTCACGACCAAGGTCACAGACAGTACTGATAGTTGATGGGGTGGGACCGTTGATGTTTCACGACCAAGGTCACAGACAGTACTGATAGTTGATGGGTGGGACCGTTGATGTTTCACGACCCAGGACACAGACAGTACTGCTAGTTGATGGGGTGTGACCGTTGATGTTTCACGACCAAGGTCACAGACAGTACTGCTAGTTGATGGGGTCGAACCATTGATGTTTCACGACACAAGACAGTACTGCTAGTTAATGGGGTGGGACCGTTGATGTTTCAAGACCAAGGTCACAGTCAGTACTGCTAGTTGATGGGGTGGGACCGTTGATGTTTCACGACAGGTCACAGTCAGTACTGCTGGTTGATGGGGTGGGACCGTTGATGTTTCACGACCCAGGACACAGACAGTACTGCTAGTTGATGGGGTGGGACCGTTGATGTTTCACGACCCAGGACACAGACAGTACTGCTAGTTAATGGGGTAGGATCGTTGATGTTTCGACCTAGGACACAGAGCTGCTAGTTGATGGGGTGGAGCCGTTGATGTTTCACGACCAAGGTCACAGACAGTACTGATAGTTGATGGGGTGGGACCGTTGATGTTTCGACCAAGGTCACAGACAGTACTGATAGTTGATGGGGTGGGACCGTTGATGTTTCACGACCCAGGACACAGACAGTACTGCTAGTTGATGGGGTGTGACCGTTGATGTTTCACGACCAAGGTCACAACAGTACTGCTAGTTGATGGGGTCGAACCATTGATGTTTCACGACCAAGGTCACAGACGGTACTGCTAGTTGATGGGGTGGGACCGTTGATGTTTCAAGACCAAGGTCACAGTCAGTACTGCTAGTTGATGGGGTGGGACCGTTGATGTTTCACGACCCAGGTCACAGACAGTACTAATAGTTGATGGGGTGGGACCGTTGATGTTTCACGACCCAGGACACAGACAGTACTGCTAGTTGATGGGGTGGGACCGTTGATGTTTCAAGACCAAGGTCACAGTCAGTACTGCTAGTTGATGGGGTGGGACCGTTGATGTTTCACGACCCAGGTCACAGACAGTACTAATAGTTGATGGGGTGGGACCGTTGATGTTTCACGACCCAGGACACAGACAGTACTGCTAGTTGATGGGGTGGGATCGTTGATGTTTCACGACCTAGGACACAGAGAGTACTGCTAGTTGATGGGGTGGAGCCGTTGATGTTTCAAGAGCAAGGTCACAGACAGTACTGATAGTTGATGGGGTGGGACCGTTGATGTTTCACGACCCAGGACACAGACAGTACTGCTAGTTGATGGGGTGGGACCGTTGATGTTTCACGACCCAGGACACAGACAGTACTGCTAGTTGATGGGGTGGGATCGTTGAAGTTTCACGATCAAGGTCACAGTCAGTACTGCTAGTTGATGGGGTGGGACCGTTGATATTTCACGATCAAGGTCACAACAGTACTGCTAGTTGATGGGGTGGGACCGTTGATGTTTCATGACCAAGGTCACAACAGTAGTGATAGTTGATGGGGTGGGACCGTTGATGTTTCAAGATCAAGGTCATAGACAGTACTGCCAGTTGATGGGGTGGGACCGTTGATGTTTCTGACCTGGGTCACAGTTAGTACTGCTAGAAGATGAGGCATCTTTCCCTTTCTATTTCGTTATCGTGTGTCAATTTTCCACCAATTTCTTGAGAATGAAAAATGATGCTATTTTGTTTGACCACTCGTATCAGCAATTGTCTTGTTCTTTTATTTGCATCTTTATTTGCTCGTAAAGCACGTGGTATTGCTCAAATTTCTACTTATTGAACGAGCTGAGTTTATTGTTTTACAGAGCAATATTTATATAGTGTATTCATTACAAATAACAAATATTATCATTGGTCAAACAGTTGCTCTATCTAATATCTAATCTATATATGGTACATAAGGACGTCATATATGACGTCAATAAGTGTTTCTTGGGTGTTGACCGTATGAGAACGGACACACTGGTAAACCCAATTATGTACATTATATTTACTTAACAGCAAATTTGATCTTTATGAGCATGACTCAACACAAGCGATGAAAAATTCTGCCAGCAAAATTTGACTGTGTAGGTGCCGTTCCCACAAACGCGAAATTTTATGTTCCTCATAACACAAACGTTATTTATTTAACTTGTAAATTTTTCAAAGTAAACAGTACTTACACATTACATTCTCTGCCTTCAAAATTAATGTTTATTTCTTGATTAGAAATTAATCAAAATGTTTTATAAAAACGCTCTAAATTACAGCTGAATTAAAGACACCAGCTAACAAGACTTCGAATCAGATAAAGTCAGAAGAATCTGTAAGTGGGGAGCTTGAATATTGGGAAATAAGATATACGTCTACCATTTGTTCAAAATGGGAAAGGGTAACCATCTGCCCCCGTGGCTCTGGCGCCTCTGGTAAGGTCGTTTCAAAATTCTTTGCAGACGTACGCCAGGAAACGACGTTCACCGAAAAGCATTAAACATTTAGACAAATCTCAAGGTAAAAGTTTTTCTATTTTTCTTCTGGGCCTTCTTTACTATTTGTTTGTTCTTTTGATATATTTAAACGTCTTTCGATGTCAAAGTGTATGTCTGTTGAAAATAAAGCTAAAATAACAATTTTTATGGAAAGAAGGCTTCAAGCCCCAAAATTGCCCGTATGACATCGTTCTTTGAAATCAACGCCCCAATATTGAGCAAAAAGTCTACTCAAGTAAACTCCCGCGTTGGGGGACGATATTCTTTCTCCGCCTAAACTTGCTTCACTTTTTTTGACGACACGGTTGAATGACTATGGGGGCATACAATGTATTATTATTTATGAAGGATTTTAAAAACTTTTCTAACTTCCACAGAAATATCTAAATGCAGGACAAATTTAAACACAAATATTCACAGGGTTGTTTTTAGCTACCAGCTTCATTAGCCACTTTCATATACAACTGAAAATTTACAAAATGATAATATTCAACAAATTTTAGTTGTCCATAAATTATGGTTGATAAACTATATCCATATTTATCTTAATCCTTTTATAATCCTTAGATGGAATCAAGAGAAGAAAGGAATAACTACTACATTCAGAAAATATTTTCAGATGTTGTTACAAAGGAACTTGTTGATTTATTTATCCAAGAGTGGAACATTAATTACAAAAAATCTCACGGAGAATGGGAAAATACAAACGTTAGTGGTCAGAAGTTGTTCAATATTGAAAGATCAAAAAAACGATTTCGTGATGAAAAAATATTGTTAAAACTTAAAGATGGTGACACAAGTAAGTGGGATTGCATGACAATATGTAAAGCAATATTGTGTACCCACTCAATTGGAACAAAAATTAATCCAAAAGTTAAAGCTGCTTTGGAAAAACTTCGTGATGTAAGAAACGATTTCACCCATGTAAATCCAGGAAGAAAATCTGATGCCGAATTTGACAAAATGCTTTGTGATATTGACAAGTCATTTAAAGATCTAGCATTTTCATTCACTGAAATTAATGACATTAAATATCAACGAAACAGATTTAATTCTTTTCAAGAACTTCCTTGCAAATCAAATCACGATGTGGTTAAACGTACAGAATTACTTAATAAAATCACAGCAGATCTCAATAACTTGCGCAGTACTAACAATAATGAACTAACATATTACTATATTTCTGGTAATCCTGGCAGTGGTAAATCTGAATTAGCTAGACAAATTTGTGAAGAAATGTATAACTCGTTTGACTGGGAAAAGAGTACGACATTTGTGATGACACTCGAAGGAAAAGATATCGACTCTCTTTTGAAAACTTATGCTGAACTTTATCAACGATTAACCAATGATAAAACTTTTATTGATAATATTTTCAATAAAGCAAAAAGCAGCGAAGACAAAATCAAATATTTTCAATTATTGCTGACACAGCAACTGAAATCATGGCAGACATGGTGGATTGTTGTAGATAACGTGGTTGAACTTCATAAAATTTATCCATTATTACCTCAAGTTGGTGATCATAGCTGGAAAAATGGTCAAATTATAGTAACTGTTCAAAATACAGATGCCATACCACCAGATGGAAATCTAAATAAGCACATTTCAGTTAGTCATGGTATAAACTATGAAGAATGTCAAGAACTTCTATCTGTCTTTTCTGACATTCATAATAAAGATGAAAAATTTTTAAAGGATTTATCAGACAAATTAGATCGTCAACCGTTGTTCCTGGCAAATGCTGCTTCCTACGTAGGTAGAGTAAAAAGTGTAAATCCGACATTCACGTGGGAGAAGTATTTTGATAAGTTGAATGAAGGAGAGCGACAGAACATGGATACCAATTTTCAAAAAATAAACTCAGCTTACTTAGGAATGAAAACTGTCATGTTAGCAGTACAAAAAAATGCCGAAGATTCCATCTTGTTGGAACATGTTTTTAAACTTTTCTCAATAATATCTTTCGATCCCTTACCACAAGATGTTATAATACCATTTATTAAAAGCATTGATCCACAAAAATCTGCAGAAGATGTCGGTCTTCAATTAAAGCACTGTTCTTTATTCCTTCAAACGGAAAACAACGACATCCGCCTGCACAGCGTTGTACACGAAGCCATCATAAATTATTCATCGCAGACCTTTGGCTGTAAACAAAACGAAAATAATTGTAAAAAGTCTGCAGCTGATCTTGCCTGTCAAGTTGCTTGGGCTCTAAATCATTTTGAAGACAGAGAAGATGAAATCAAAATAATTCCTCATCTAATAAAATTCATAACAAATTCATCATTTCAACATTTCCTAAATAAGTTGATCGATGTAAAATCATCAAAACAAAAACTTGATGAAAGAAATTGGAAATTTGCCAAATATTTTGTAGATGTTTTGGAAAGATTTTACAACTATAAACTTGCAACTAAAGTACTTTATGAAATAACAGAAATTCAAACTAAAGTGTTAGGTGTTGATCATATTGATGTTTCATATTCGTACAGCGAGCTGGGTGTCTTGCTTTTGAAGAATGGAGAATATGAAAATGCTAAACATTTTAATGAACGAGCGATGAAAATTCAAACGAAAACATTTGGACCTCACCATATCAATATTGCGACAGCGTGCAACAATCTGGGTTTGGTTTACGAAGATATGGGAGAGAACGAAAAAGCAAAAGATTTTTATGAACGAGCGATAGAAATTCAAACAAAAGCATTTGGACCTGACCATGTTACTATTGCGACAAGGTACTGCAATCTGGGTTCGGTTTACAGTAAAATGAGAGAGTACGAAAAAGCAAAAGGTTTTCATGAACGAGCGATAGATATTCAAACAAAAGCACTTGGACCTAATCATGTTAATATTGCGACAACGTACAACAATCTGGGTTTGGTTTACAAAAATATGGGAGAGTACGGAAAAGCAAAACATTTTTATGAACGAGCGATAGAAATTGAAACGAAAACATTTGGACTTGACCATGTTAATATTGCGACAACGTACAGCAATCTGGGTTCGGTTTACAATGATATGGGAGAGCACGAAAAAGCAAAAGATTTTTATGAACGAGCAATGCGAATTGAAACAAAAACATTTGGACCTGACCATGTTAATTTTGCGACAACGTACAACAATCTGGGTTCGGTTTACAGTGATATGGGGGAGTACGAAAAAGCAATGGATTTTTATGAACAAGCGATAAAAATTCAAACAAAATCATTTGGACCTGACCATGTTAATATTGCGACAACTTACAACAATCTGGGTTTGGTCCACAGAGATATGGGAAAGTACGAAAAAGCAAAAGATTTTTATGAACGAGCGAAAGAAATTCAAACGAATATATTAGAACCTGACCATGTTAATTTTGCGACAACGTACAACAATCTGGGTTCGGTATACAGTGATATGGGAGAGTACGAAAAAGCAATAGATTTTTATGAACAAGCTATAAAAATTCAAACAAAATCATTTGGACCTGACCATGTTAATATTGCGACAACGTACAACAATCTGGGTTTGGTCCACAGAGATATGGGAAAGTACGAAAAAGCAAAAGATTTTTATGAACGAGCGAAAGAAATTCAAACGAAAATATTAGAACCTGACCATGTTAATTTTGCAACAACGTACAACAATCTGGGATTGGTTTACAAAGATATGGGAGAGTACGAAAAAGCAAAGGATTTTTATGAACAAGCGATAAAAATTCAAACAAAATCATTTGGACCTGACCATGTTAAAATTGCGACAACGTACAGCAATCTGAGTTTGGTTTACAGTAAAATAGGAGAGTACGAAAATGCAAAAGATTTTTATGAACGAGCAATGCGAATTGAAACAAAAACATTTGGACCTGACCATGTTAATATTGCGACAACGTACAATAATCTGGGTTCGGTTTACAGTGATTTGGGAGAGTACGAAAAAGCAAAAGATTTTTATGAACAAGCGATAAAAATTCAAAAAAAATCATTTGGACCAGACCATGTTAATATTGCGACAACGTACAGCAATCTGAGTTTGGTTTACAGTAAAATAGGAGAGTACGAAAAAGCAAAAGATTTTTATGAACGAGCGATGAAAATTAAAACAAAAGCATTTTGTCCTGAACATGTACTGCAATAATGTACAACAATCTTCATTTGGTTATAAACAAATTATAGATATTGAAACTGAAGCATTTGGACTTCTATTTATCTTTTATTTGCTAGAAGCTAAAATACCTTGTCTTTGAGAAAACGTACAAGAAGATAGAAGAAGAGGAAATGAATTTGTAGCTCATTTTCAATGAAGAAGAAAATCAATTTCTCTTTTCATTTTAGGTATGTCTTCTTTATGCTAAAGCTGATTAGAAAGAGTTGTATTGTAGTTTTCTTTTAACAAAGGTTTAAATAAAAACAGTTATATATTTATAAAAGGTATAAATATATTATTGACAATATTCAAACATTTGTATTTTCAAGTTTTCAACTGTCATTTATTTATTGGAACAGTTTTTATTAAGAAACTTGTATGGAACTATCAACGTATATTTATGAGTTTAGTTTGCAATATCTAGCTATTCAGAAGTTGTGAAGTTCCTTAAAATGAATGTTGTTGGGTCGTTTTCTTGTATAATGAGAGTAAATACTGATCTTACAGCAACCATGATCATGTAACATCCCTTTTTGAAATGCTGAAAAGCTCACAAGATTTGCTTTGCTATATAAGTATGAATACAGTCTTTTCTATATTTATTTCTATTCATTCATATAACTTAAAAAATATACTTTTTATTTATGAGAATTGTAGTTGTTTGAAATGGACATGCAGTTATTGTTATTTCATTCAATCATACTTGATTTGGGGAATAACACCATAATTGTCTTGACAATGTTTGTTTTTTTTTACTTTTGATGAAATTTTTATTTAATGATTGATTCAATAATACTTTTTTTATAGTTCAAACTATAAAGACAATGTAAAACAAAAGTTATAAATAACCTGAAGAAGAAAAAGCAGGATATCATCGCTATAGCATTGACAGAAGTGAAAATGACACATTTAACTGTCCGACTACCAGATTTTAGACTACCAGATTTACTAGTGTAATTTATTTTTCAATTTTTTCTATATACCATTCCCAAATTTTATTAATTTAAACGTTTGTTTGTTCAGAGATTAGATAGTAGACACCAATGTTCGATAGACTAGTGAAACGCAGGCAATAGCAAGATGTTTTTGACATTATGCAGATACATAACATAGAAAATGTAAACAACAAAGTTGCAGTGGTTTTGTTGGTAAAACCTTGTTATGGTGTTGTGTTTTGATACCCGACATTTTGAGTCCCACACATTTTTGTCAGATTATATCAATCCTACTGGTATTTTGTAATTGTCAATCATAAAAAAGCAAATCCTTACGTACTAATGGAGTGCCTATTTTTTAGAAACTATCATTGTATAAAGAATGTTTCAATGATACATCCTGTATAATTATTAAAAGGAAAATTTAAAATGTTATAAGCACATTAAACAAACAATTGTCGAATGCGTCAGCAACCAACCTGGTGAAACGGTAAATGAATTGAAGAAATAAATATTTTACTAACATGAAAGTCACTATTTGTTATTCGGCTTATTTTGATATCTATGTTGCATGTTTCGTTGTTTGTTTGTCTATGCTTAATTAATCTTTTGCTTGCCTTTATGTGTCTGTTGATATCGAAAATAATGAGCTACAATGAAACAATGTTAGTGGTCCAAAAACAAAAGAATATTTTATGAATAATAAAAATGACATTGTTTAGTACATCCAAAGAAGTTAAGTCAATTGAGCAAAAAATATTTCTTGTGATGATTATGTACATTTATACCTGTATTAGATGGCAATCCTTGACAGAATAGCGAAATGGTGATCCATTATGATCCATTGTAAATTACTGGAACTCCAAAACCTTTTAGAATTTTGCTATAAAACTATAAATGTTTAAATAACAGAGTTTAACCATGGGCGGCCCAAAAAATAATTTAAATTGTATAAACAAACGATAACTCGCCCCATTCCATCGTAACAGATCGCGCCCCGCAAACTTTGTATTGATTAATTGTATCCATATTATATATTTACGTAAAAAAATATATTAATAAATAATAAAAACAAATACATAAATGAATATATAATATAGATACAATTAATCAATACAAAGTTTTCGGGGCACGGTCTGTTACAATGGAATGGGCGAGTTATCGATTTTATACAATTAAAGTGATTTTAGGCTGCCTTGGTTCACCTCACAAAGTTAAATCTATAACAAATGTGCTACGCCAAGAAAATGTTCTAGTGAAAAATGTGAAATCTCTATTTCATCAAGATTTCAACGATGATAATATACCATCAACATTTGGTGGTTATATTGTTTACCTCTGACTGACCATAACTTTCTTTAATTGTTTTTTGAAAGTCTCTTAATGTCATTCCATATTCCATATTTGTTTTTAACTTCTCTAGTTTAAACATAACAGGACATTCCAGTGATATACAGCACAGTTGTTCATCTCTACTCTACAACACTGAAAACATATCTACAATATGAAATAAAAATTAAATGTCATGAAAAAGACAAACCATAATTATTAGGTTATTTATTATGCATACCTCTTTAAAGTGCTACTGAAGTGAAATTTTCATATTTCGTTTTTCGATACAAACGTTTTCTCTGTATTTTACTGATCATTTTGAGCTATCGCCCACTGAATTTAATCGATGGGAACGCATCGAACTTAGTGTTCAAACATGGCATATTTGCTTGTTTTGATGCGAATTTTACTTTGAGTGCGTGACGTCATATAAAGGACGGAAGTTCAATTTTAAAGCTCTTAGTATATAAAAATTATATACGAACAAGCATATTTCCACCTGGAATTTTACATATTTTATAACTTCTCTTCGCAAAAATTGCGTATATTTAGTGACAAATTAGCAACACGCATAGGTAAGCAACATTTACAATCGATTAGAGTTTTATAAACTTCTTGAATTAACTTATATTTCTCAATAAACTGGGTGCCGCATCCTTGACGAAGTCTGAGGTTTTAACACACACGCAATGTTATCAGAAACTAACTGTAACGCGCTTATTTTCAATCATCCAATGTATACTACTTTTATAAACTTCTGGATTAGACTTATCATTCTTATCATATGGGTGTCGCATCCTTGACGAAGTCTGCGGTTTTAACACTCACGCAATGTTATCAGAAACTAACTGTAACGCGCTTATTTCCAATCATCCAATGTATACTACTTTTATAAGCTTCTGGATTAGACTTATCATTCTTATCAGATGGGTGTCGCATCCTTGACGTAGTCTGTGGTTTTAAAACCCATGCAATATTATCACAACGCACGTAATATAAGGAGAATAATTTTTTATTAAGTTAGTCAAACGTAACGATACACCGCAAGTTAAAATATGGCGAGTAGGCAAAATTCTGCAAAAAATCGTCCAGGAGGACAATATTGTGTTGCTGGTTGGCCCAACGGAAAAAGTTGTACAAACAGTCAACACACAGAGGGTGTCTCAGTACATCGTTTCCCCATGAATGACAAGGAGAGGCTGAATAAATGGACGAAATTTGTTAGGAGACATAGGCCAAAATTCGTTCCTCAGCAGTACTCTGTGCTATGTTCAATGCATTTCGCAGATTCTGCATTCACCGTGAACGCAACAGTTGCAAAATCGCTAAACATGAGACGACGATTGCGAAATGGAAATCCATTGCTAGGCACATTACAAACAACCATGAAAACCATCCAGATGAGTTGTTTCCTAAATGTACTCATGGAGAGCTAGATGAACGTCTATGGCTTCAAGTTGCTATGAGCATGCACACATTTAGGCAGCAAGACAGAATTGAGATTGTTAAAATGTCTAAAATGTTATTTACCACTTTTCAGATGGGATTGTATTCTTTTTAAGGAACTAAATCATATCAGCGACTTTCCTCCATTCTGTTGAAAAAATCTGTTCTCAAAGATGTTAAAAAACTATCTTCAGAAGCACAAACTAGTTGTCTCGAAGGTTTTCATTCAACATTAAATGGTTGGCATCCAAAGATGACCCACTTTTCTTGGCTTGGTACATATTGCAGGTAACTTGTAATCACTGTTCTCTATCTGCCAAGCCTTTTTTACTTGTTCCTAGTCAAGAAAAAAAATTACATAATAAATGGTTTGTTCTGTTTAGGCACGTACTGGCAGTACTTCATTTCAATGAAAACCTTCACAGACAGCCAAAAAAAACAAAAAATGGAACACCATATTATTCTGTGACATACCCAAAATTTAAATCAGGGGATGAAGTAGTAAGAACTGTTTCTTCAGCACCATCATATTGTAAGTTTAGCATGTATGCATTGGTACTCTTGACTTACACATCTAACCACTTGTCATTTTCCAGACTATGTTAATGAAATCAAAAATGTCATGGTTCTTAGTTGTGAGGAATCCATGGACAACATATTTAAGAAGTATAAGGAAAAAGTCCCAGAAGCCTTAAACAAAACTTTCTCGGATCAATTTCCAAAACTGAGGCAATCCAACGGCATTTGGATAGGAAACAACTATCTTCAACACCATTGTTTCCCACATGTAAGTTGTTCATGCTACCATGTATAATAGGTATGGCCAGTGCATTCTAAAAGTAAACAAATTAAATTGTTATTTATAGATCAACAGCAAGATGTACTGCAAGCAAAGGTTTAGACAAAGAAAAACAAGCTGCTTCAACAGGTCCTTCAGATCCAAAAAATGCGCTTATGCAAAAATTGTGGACAGCCAATGAAAGGACATCCAAAGGTCATTGTCCACAAAATTACTTGACAAATATTCTTAGCAGGCCAACTTTAAAGTTAGTTATAAAATAATATACTATGCTACAAAAAATGTTCTTATTTGATTAATTATTTTGACTTCACACAACAAAATTGTGAAGCATCACAGCACAATAATGAACCACATAAAGGTAAAAGTAGAGATACATGGCAAGATATTAATCATTCGTTACAAAACAAAATTAGAAATCAAAAATGTACTAACTCATTTTCATGTATTCTTGGTCATACGCTTGTATGACCTTCCATCTTGGTCTCTTAGAAGTGAGCCAACATTCTTCCAACATTCTTCAAGACTGTAGCATGTGTCATAATCGTGTACTCTTCGTGAAGAGTAACACAGCTAATTTTTCAATGCTAACATCGAATACCAGTTTATGTAAAGTAGGCCCAACCTATTGACAACAACGGTATTCAATGGCATCTGTCAGCAGTTGAGTACGACCCAAGCTACATGCACACCTATAAAAAAGTGGTTTGTTATCATATTTATGCACCACGACATAAGGACAAAATAACATGTTTAATTCATGGTTTAATTTCTTCTAGAGTTCTAGTAACATTTATCAACTTACCACTTATCTAACTGAAAGGTTCCTTCGAACCTCGCTTCCAATGTTCGAGGTTCTAAGCCATCTGCGTCTTCTTCGACCGACACAAAATTCTCTCCGACTGCGTTCGCAAGAGGTTCATTTTCGTAAGGATTTACCACTGAATTAGCCACAATTGTATCCTCATCGCCGGAATTTGAAAGTAAATTTTCATTTGCCATATCTGAGTTTTCAGTATCCGAACTGCGTTCGCTTTCACTGCTTGAAGAACTCATATTTTATTGTGTATATGTGTTAAAAATCTAACAAAATACTAGTAAATCAATGCTCATACTTCGACTTCCGTCCTTTTTATTACGTCACATCCGTATAATATTTCAGTGGTAAAAATTCGCACGCGTAACCTAACTTTGAGCAAAAATTTATTGATGATCCCGTGCTTCAATATGCATAAAAATTATACCAAAGTGATCAGGAAAGATAGAGCTATTTGATTATAGAAAAAAATCGATACCCAAAATTTCACTTCAGTAGCACTTTAAGGTGGCTCCTCGATAGGCAAAATTCGCCATTTCCAAAAGCTTATTTTATCATTACAGAATTATTGGAATGCCATAATTTTTGGGGGACAGAAACAAAACACTTAAGCAAATTAACCATAAAAAATTGGTACACTCTAAATTTCGAAGTGTACTGTGAACACGAAAAATGGTGTAAATTTCTGCCTCTGTAGGAACACCAAAGAGGTGTAAATTGACATTGTAAAAATACACCCATCGGGTGTATTTGCTCTTGCCTTATTTTTTACATCAAGAGAGTGTAAATATACACCTCAAAGGTAAATATAGAAATGGGATGTAATAATACACTCTAATGGTGTAATATCTCTAGTGTATGTTTACACTACGAATGTGTAAGCATAGTTAGAGTAGTGTAAACATATACATTAGACAGTGCATTCTTAAATTGAATTGACAACGCTCCGAAAAACAAAACAAAGAGCAAAATAGCATATAAATGTATCATGAAAGTAAATTTCAGCATAATAAATACTACAAAGTTATTAAATGTAACCCCCACTTACATAACTATTTAAAACCTTAACAAAACTTTAAATAAAACTACATTATATCATTAAATCCTGTACTATAACCATATATTTTATTGTTCACATTCTGTTTCATAGTTGCAATAACTCTGACATTAACACCAACACCTTTGTCGGCACGTTTTGGATGTTAAACACTTTCATGATATTTCTTTGCAGGAAATGAAATGTGTTGACACATTCTTTAGGGTATTGAATATTACATACGTAATACAATATAAGCATTGACTCCAGTGCATCCAGAATTCCTGCAGACCTTGTTAGAATGTGGTTTTCGGCAACTACAGTTATATCATCCGGATGGGATCATCCACTGAGCCACTGATAACCAAAATGGGGCCATTCCAGGTCTTGCTGCCATGGCAACTTCTTCTGCTTCACCAAACTGAAAATAGACAAAAAATTTAATCAAGCAGTTAGGCACTGCATTATTTGAGTTTCAATACAAATATCCATATTCTGAAATCAATACTAACCTGGTAAAAGTAAGACTCAGGACTTTTATTAGTTTTTGTTTTCCTTTCCAGTAAATGAGGCAACAAACACATTGCAACAAAAGTTTTGTTCTCTATGTAAAGTAATAAAACATGCATTAAAAATAAACAGATATTAAATTGATCAGTTGCACTTTACGAAAAACAAAGGCATGACAAATTTTTTTTCAGGGGAAAACAGCATTACCAGATGGGAACAAAAGATGATTTATTTAAATGTTTCAAGTCAAAATGACTAAATAATAACTCAGTACATATGTAGCATGTTCTATACATACATAGTAAGACATGTTTACCTGCAGATAAAATATTTTCATTCTCTTCATCATTACAACTAGAGTCATTTGTAGGTTTACAAAGCAGCAGCTTATTAGCTTCTTCTGAAACAAATTTCCTTTGCTCTGCTACTCTGATAATGTTGGGTGATACTTCTAGCAAATTGCCTTGAATACAATCAGCGGCCGAGCTATCTGCCATCAAACGACTGTACTCAGATTTTAGCTATAAAAAAATCAAAGGAGGATTACACAACAACATGTACAAAACATGCATTTGTATTGAATAATACATACATGGGCTTTTTTAAACAGGAAAGGATATTGTTCCATAATATCCTTCAGCAAATGTTTTTCCTCATTTATCATACGCCTCCTAAAGGAATATGTCAATTCCATCTTTTTGTTTACCAAAGTGAGGTTGGGTTGTTTTCTTTTAAATTCCTTCTTCATCCACGAAACATGTGCTTTGGAACAGACATCGTCCTCGCCATCTATTGGTGGAGGTGCCCAGTTCACAATTCCTCGTCGAACAGCTGCTCTGATTTTAGTTGCAGCTGGACTGCCATCAACATTTTTTCTTTTTCTAGATAGGACAACAGGGTCTGCTCTTTCATTTCTTAATTCATTCTTAACTTTCTCACCAAGGTACGGATACCAAATTTCCTAAAAAAGTAATCACATATGAGTAATTCACTAAAATTGCCTGTATGAAACCTGTCATAAATTTCTTCAAGCCATCAGTATGCAAGTTTATGACAAACAATACAGATTTCAGCGTTTTTTGTTATGTCTTTTTCTTTATTATAACTATACAAACATGATGGATAATAAGAAAAGACTATATACAATTATAAATAAAAGACTTACATAGCCACCACTTGCATCAGAAAGAAAAGGGTATTTTGCAATTATTGCACGACAAACATCTCGCCTTTGGTCTGGAGTGGGAGAACTATACAACAAAAGCCATTCTCGATGACACAAATATGCCATAATACACCATAGCAGGATAAAATCAAGAGAAAGTTGCTGAAAATATAAATGATGGAATGAACTTACACAGTAAATAGGAAAATTTTGTCGTAAATTGTTTGTATGAACTTGCATCTAACTTGCTTTGGCATTCTCAATTTCTTTGCAAGTGTTTCTTCAACCAAAGGCGGGAAATAATCAGGAAGAACAAACGGCGATGTCCATTGTTTTCTGCCTTTTGCTACTGAGTTGTCACTGTTATGAAACACACACACAGGCATCCTCATGACAGATATATTTACAATTCAGTGTCTTTTAATACAATTCATTACCTTGCACTTGATAGTGATTCACACACACCAGATTGCCCACCAGGATTTGATGCATTTCCTTGAGAATTGGAGTCTTGCCACTTCGCCAGCATATCACATGTAGATAAGTCACTAGCAGACTCAGATGTAGAAGTCGAGCATCTAGTGTTCATTTGTTTGATGGCTTTCAATAACTTCATCCTGGGGCCAATCCTGACAACCAATGATTTTAAGGCATATTCCGTCAAGCAGGACATTGCATCGCCATCAATGCCCTCGTCTAAGTATAATTTTGATATCAAAATATAGAATTTGTTTTCAAGTAGCAACGATCGATCGAATATTAAAAAGTCACGGATTTAGAACTCGCACGATGAGGAATAAAATATAGCGGTAAAATAGCACATGGTACCTTCGGTTGACATCGCAATAGTACAGCGCAGCACAAAAGTTTCCCAAACTGAACCGAATTCGGAATCTTATTGCAGTAGTAAAATAATCAAAATACTAAATACAAATGATGCAATTGCAAAGTCAATACCTACCACAAAACTTTTGGCTGATGTCATAATTTTATACATCCCAAAGTTGCAAGTAATCTGGGATCGAACGTTTATACAACTCAAGAGAAAGTAACAATGGCTGCATCCTCGTTTTCTTCTAAAATTCAAGGCTATTGTCTTGCAGATATTATAATTAAAGAGCGAGAGTATGCGAAAGTAAAACTGTTTGTCTTAACAAATTTATGTACGAACGTGATATTAGGACAAAATTGACAGGAAAAACATGAAAGCATAATTATTGAGTATGGGGAAAATCGCCCTCTTTAACGATATGTGGTTTATCAACTATAAATATAGGGCCACCGCCGTTGTTTCAATTTTTGTCTGAAGATTGTAGACCGGTAGCTGCAAAATCACGAAGATACAGTGCCGAAGACAGAGCGTTCATCGCTACTGAAGTGTCGAAATTGCTTGAAGAAGGGATTATTGAAGAAAGTGACTCTCCCTGGAGAGCCCAAGTCGTTGTAACCAAGCACGAAAGACAAAAGAAAAGACTAGTAATCGATTACTCTGAAACAATTAATAAGTTTACTCAGTTGGACGCTTATCCGATGCCAAGAATAGATGATACAGTAAACGCAGTTGCCCAATATAGTGTCTTTAGCACTGTAGATCTTAAAAGTGCATACCATCAAGTACCTATCAAAAATAAAGAGAGAAAGTACACGGCTTTTGAAGCTAACCATCGACTTTATCAGTTCCGTAAAATCCCATTTGGTGTAACTAATGGAGCGGCGGCCTTTCAACGATCAATGGATACTTTCATATCCGAAGAAGCTTTAGAAGATACTTTCGCGTATTTAGACAATATTACTATATGCGGTTACAATCAGGAGCATCATGATAAAAATTTGTAACCTAACTTTTAATGAAAGCAAGTGCGTTTTTTCGGTAACTTCAATTAGTATACTCGGAAGTGTTGTATCTCAAGGAGAGATTAAGCCAGATCCGGAGAGACTAAAACCTTTGCGGGAGCTGCCAGCCCCACGTGATGCAAAAGCTCAAAGGCGTGTCATCGGTTTGTTTTCATATTACTCCCAATGGATTAAAGATTTTTCAACTAAAATCAGACCTTTGTCTCACAATTTAGCTTTTCCATTATCAAATGATGCGTTGCAAGCGTTTGATTTACTGAAAAATGATATTGAGAATGCCGTAGTAGGATCAATTGATGAATCTTATACTTTCCAAATAGAGACCGATGCATCAGAATTTGCACTTTCAGCGACATTAAATCAACAAGGACGACCAGTAGCATTCTTCTCAAGAGCACTAAATGGTTTAGAACTAAAACACTCGTCAGTAGAAAAGGAAGCAGCTGCTATCGTGGAGGCCGTTCGTAGGTGGAAACATTATCTAACAGGTAAACATTTCAAACTAGTAACGGATCAGAGGTCAGTAGCTTATATGTTCAATTTGAAACGTCATGGTAAGATTAAGAACGATAAAATAATGCGGTGGAGATTGGAACTTTCTATGTATGATTTTGACATAGTATATAGAACAGGAGAAGAAAATACACCAGCGGATACCTTATCGAGAGTGAAGGTTATGTCGCTTACACTGGATAAACTTTTCGAACTTCATAAAGCACTGTGCCATCCTGGAGTATCTCGCATGAGTCACTTTGTAAAAAGCCGAAATTTACCATTTTTGATAGAAGAAATTAAGCGCATGACCGAATCATGTAGAGACTGCCGAGAATGTAAACCCCAATACTATCGACCTGCACAGTCACATCTGATAAAAGCAACACAGCCGTTTGAAAGACTGAATCTAGATTTTAAAGGTCCGCTGCCTAGTACGGACAAAAAACGATATATATTGACTATCATAGATGAGTATTCTAGATTCCCATTTGCGTTCCCATGTGAAGATGTTAGCGCTCGGACTATTGTTGCTTGTCTATCAGAATTATTCTCGGTTTTTGGTATGCCTACGTACATTCATTCTGATCGAGGGTCAGGATTTATGAGTGCTGAACTAAAGAGTTTTCTCATACAGAAGGGTATTTCAAGTAGTAGAACAACAAGTTATAATCCTGCAGGAAATGGCCAAGTAGAAAAATTCAATGGAACGTTGTGGAAAACAGTTTGCCTCGCTTTACGATCAAAAAATCTACCCATTAACCACTGGCAAGAGGTGATGCTGGATGCATTCCATTCGATTAGGTCCTTGTTATGTACGGCTACAAACGCTACTCCTCATGAACGATTATTTTCTTTTCAACGTAAGTCAACGAGCGGGGTGTCTGTCCCTTCATGGTTAGCTACACCAGGAAAGGTTCTATTAAAACGTCAAGCGCGAAATTCAAAGTTTGAACCATTAGTGGACGAAGTACATCTAATACAAGCAAACCCTCAATATGCTCACATTCGACACGCTGATGGAAGAGAGGATACCGTATCAACAAAATACTTAGCACCTCAAGGAGACTTAGGATTTCAAGACGGTATAACAACTTCTGCCCCTCCAAAAGAAGTTCAAGACACTACAATACGTCCCACAGAAGACGCAAAGATAGAGATATCTACGCCAACGGAAGAAGTGAGAGGAACAAATTCATATGATGAGAGTGTTGAACAGCAGTCGTCGCAATTACGACGTTCGGAAAGAAGAAGAAGAGCACCAGATCGATTAACTTATGATTAAAATAAAATTAAACAGAACGAATCAACTAACATTTATTAAAGTCATTCTATTACCTTGAGTTAGTTAAGGACAGTTATATCAAATTCAGCTACATATATGTTTAGGTTTTTTTTTATTGTTAGGGTGAATGAACAGAATTCATTACGAAATTTAAATATACGTAAATGTAAATAAGTATGCCCATTATTTAGACCCCGTCCACACGTATACGGATATTTTCGTATCTGCAACTTTTGTTGCGGATCAGGTAGCACAAAAATGTTGTTGCGTCCACACGTATACGGATATTATCCGGATTTACTCTAGTTCCCATGACTTTTAGCGCTATCAGTTACCCGCACATATTTTATAACTTGGCAATAAATTGGTTAGCAATTGTGAATTCGGTCAGTGTTAAAGGTTTTTCGGCTTTGTCTGATTAAACATGTCATTATTTGATCAGAAATCGAAGAAAAATGAGAAAAGCAAGACGGACTCCTTTATTTGGAGTGATGATGAGGTCGAACTCTTACTAAAAGTAACATTAGAAGATAAAACATCCAACGCTATGGA